TTAGACTGAAAGAAATGCAAACTTGCATTGGTCCAGAGGCGTTTGTATCAGTGGGTGTCAGTTACGTTTTCCAGAAGTGTGGTGAACGAAGAATACACTGGAGATAGGCACCGTTTTGTTATTGAACAGGCAGGCACTTATTGGTACTTATCACCCTCCAAAAGCGCCTAAATTTCAGTTATCAGATTTGTCGATCTGCTGCTTATTACATTAAAGTGTTATAAAAAAGTGATTTTGCCTGGATAAATTTCTGCCCTCAGACACGGCAATAAAAAACGGTCAACAGAATGAAAAAAAGATGCAATCACTTCCTCCATAACCGGGTCTAAAATGCATCCGACAGTGCGATCGATTTGACTGACAGTTTGTAGAGTCGAATCAGAACATCATGCTGATAGCTAATGTTCACGGGATCCTACATCTCGTAAAACTAAGGAGACGCCTAACAGCATCTAGAGTGAAGATAACGATTTGTCTTCCATTCAAAGGTGATAAGGTAACTAATCTAGTCCACCAACGATTACTATCGGTTGTCAGCCGGACTTATTACGCAGCCAAACCCAGAATTGTGCAAAGGGCAAGGAGTATATCCGTTAGAGAACGTCCACTTCTGTACGCCAACTCAAACGTAATCTATCAATTGCAATGTGGCTGCGGAGACACTTACATAGGCGGAACCGAAAGGCAAATACGGAATCGGGTTTTAGAACACATTCCTAATTGGGTTTAACGCAAGGTTGCCATGTCAAAGTTCACACAGCCCGTAAGTGATAGGGTTCGTGCTTACGAACCACCAAGCTCATCGATTGCCAAACCCTTGTTGATGACGCAACACCGCGTGGATCGCGAGAAAGCATTTCGAGTGATTTTTACTAATGATAACACCAGAATGTTCAAGATCGCCCAGGTGATTACAATCAAGCGATGGAAACCATTTCTGTGTCAACAACAAAACTTGTTTATCACCTTGGCTTTGCCTTGGTGATGTTTCTCCTATTTATAAATGTTTACTTTGTAATATATTCCCAAACCTTAGATAAACATTGTATTTGTCTGCACTAGGCAGCAGTTAAGATGCAGCGAAATCGTCCAGGACAAGAATCGTGCAATGTCTATAGTGGTTTCTCTTTTCAAATCTATCACGGGAAAAGCTTGTTTGAGAAACACTCATCACTCGATTCACTTCCATAAACGAGGCAGCTTTCGTGGTCCCATTGTCAAATCCACTAAACCGGAACTCGAAAATGCGAGAAATCATTCCAACCGGTAATAGAAAGCAACAGATAAGCAGGAAACGAAATCCGATCACTCACTGACTGGATAACAGTCACTTTGAGCGACACTTTAAAACAGACTATCGAAGTGCAAAAGCTGTGACTTAACGTGTCTTGACTATTCCGAAGAGCGAATTAACAAGGGGTTCATGCACGCCAGGATGGAAAAGTTCGCACGCATCGGATGACGAAAAGCGAAACACAGAGCTTACCTTGACACCCGCACTCGGTTTGCAAGTGGCGTTCTTCGAGATCCACGACTGACCCAATTCGATTATCTGATTCACATTTGGAATGCTTGTGCTGTTCGCTTTCTCCAGAATAGCCCTGCCAGCTTTGAGGGGATCCGCATTGCCACATTCGCGTCTGGTCAGTGGCTCGATCAAATACATTAGGATGGTGCTCGGTAAGGTGGAAGCTGTGAGAACCCGGGAAAAAGTTTCGTAAATTGGGGATAAATGAGCAGTAGTACTATACCCGAGATTAGCGAAACCCCGGCGGTCCATGGATACAGATAGAGCAGTGTGAACAAGACGTAACACGCAACTAACACTAGATTGGCGTTCGAAAAACCGAACTCCTCGATATTGCATCACGATTTCTCTCTCTCTCTGGCTGGCTATATATATATATATATATATATATATATATATATAATGTATATATATATAACACCGGCTTGAGAACAAGCATGGTGCCAACGACACGATAATATTAACAATAACAATAACGGGAGGGGGTTGGGATACAGAGTATAGGGAAAAAGATGTAACTGTTAGAATGGAAGATGACGAATAAATGGAATAACAAGTTATTGTGTTTCACCGTACACTTTTTGATATTTTTTGTGTTGTT